TTATTAAATGGGATATATGGTAAGTTTCAGGTTAGGTTTAGGAAAGATTAAGGTTTAGGCTAAGGACAAGTCAAGGCTTAGTCAACCTAATAAGGGTGACATTAGGGTTGGTTCGAGTTAGCATAGGTTTATTTTAGAGATATTTTCCAGTTACGGTTAGGTTAAGGAAAGATTAGGGTCACTGTTAGAGTTAGAAGAACTAGATAACTACGTGCATAGAATATGGTTAAATTACTCTGTTGATACTCCGCAATCCAAAACTAAGAGGTATTTTCGTCACACATCACAGAAAGGTACCCTGTGTCGCAGTTTTAAGCTTTCTGGTAAATTATTTTTATGAATATATGTATTTTATGCGTAAAAAATCGCCCTTGCCATGTGGTTGGTGCGCTCAAGGTCATTCGTCCGTTGGTATTTAGTGGTCCTTGAAGTTTAACTTCACCCGAAACGGTATCAATAAATAAATAGTACTGTACACCTACTGTGTACGTTACATTAAATAAAAATTATTTTATTATGGGACTTCTTTCAACTGTTTCACATTTACAACAACAACTAAATTCACCGTTTCATCCAATTAAAGGAAAGTAACATGGAGAATTAATTGGGAAATATTACATGATATATTACCATCTAATAAAAAACATGTATGGTGAGTTGTGTAACATATCGTTTAAATGGAAACAACATTACTGTAAATAACAAAATCATCCAGGGACAGAAGATTGCACAATAATAAAAAGTACGCTAGGGTGTGACAACTTGAGTTGCTAAACTTCTGTGTACACACAAAGCTCTACGTTGAAACTTAGTCATCGAATAAATTTTATTTTGATAAAACTATACAGTGATTAAGCATTATTTACTGATGGTCATTTCAAGAACAATTTTTATTGCTCATAATCATCATATATCAAAGACGCACTGACATAACTTTCCAACTTCATTTATATAATTCCATTATTTCTTAGTCTTTAGATTTCATTGGTGGTAATATTTTCCATACCTCTGATATTGGTGTTGCACATCATCCTGATTTGAGCGTGTTAGGTGTAGATTATATGAACAGGGATTCAGTGATTAGACTCTTTCACCACATGATTACACTACTTTCTTAGAGCTGCAACTGTGTTCCATCCTATTATATGAATGTGTGCTAGTGCACGCATTGGCAATGCTGAGTCTTTCTCTAAACTACTCAACTTTGTGGGGTCGGTCATTCTACACCTAGCCAAATTCTTATGTTCCCATAACTTGACTACCAGAGGTCTACTGATCTAACCTCACACTCATTGCAGGATATTTTGTAGATTAAATTATTTTGTCTAGTTGGGTCTCTGGAGGGGCCACTAGCTTACAGACCTTATCTCTAAGTGAGTTTGTAGGTTCAAAAAGCCATCCAGATTTCTGCTGCATCAAGTATTTTTGTGCCTCGAATCTACACCTAACATATGCAGTGGGAATGCTGCAACACCGATACCAATAAAATCAAAGAACATTAGATAGCGGAATAATATAAACAAAGTTCGAAAGTTATATTAATGCCTTGAAATGATAATGAGCTATAAATTGTCCTTGAAAAATCATTAGTTAATAAATAATACTGTGTGCTCTCATCAAACTAATTTGTTCTTTGGTGGAATTATACTCTACCATAGCGCCTAAGACATAGAGACACCACCAATAGCAACAAATAGCAACAATCACCACCAACAGGCGAGGTTTGACAGTGGTCACTTCACTTATCGTGTTAGGAAGCACGCTTTCAACCAAGGATAGTCGAACAGTACGGATGAAGATGTCAAAGCCAGCCAGCCAGAACCGGAAAGACAAGCAAGATAAGCCTTCATCAACCTGAAAACAGTATATTTTATTTATTTATTTTTTATTACAGCTTGATTCCACATCGTATTTTTGGTACAAGTATGGAATTTTCAGCATGGATATCGGTAGCCCAAATTTCGCAGGCCGACCATAGATATCAAAAGTGAGTCGGCAGGGGATCGAACCTCGGACCATGTGCATGGTCGGCGAGGGTCCTAACCACTGTGCCACCGACGCACAGAAATTTTCTGCACTCATTCAGCCGGCATAAGCAACAAGATTCGGATTCTATTCAACACAAACGTGAAATCAGTCAGTCAGTTCTTCTATACTAGTCGGAAACTTACACTGCGTGTCAGTCATGAAAAGGATTCCCAACAGCTAGCTGCAGACTTTTATAAACAGCTGCCCGCTTCGCTGGCTGGTTTCAAAGTGAAGATCAAGTGGCCAGCCGGCCAGAAAGAATTAGCAACAAGAAATTCTGTCTGGGAACAAACCAACCGAGAATGGTTGGTCAACAAATAAGTAGGGGAAAATGGAGATGAATCGGGCATACGTTGAGGAGGCCGACGGATGACATCATGAGCAATGAAGGTCATCGCTCACGTGGAATCCCAATGGGAGGCGATGAGTGGGTCGTTGGTGCAAGGATGACATGGAGGAGATTGTGTGAGTTGGAGTGGGAGATGAGAGATTATGGGGGATCGTCGGGTCAGTTGGAGAGGACATGAGAAAATAGAACAAAGTGGAGATGTTTTGTTGAAGCCATATGTTCTACTCGGAACCCAAAAATGCCCTAGTTCTATTCTTATATCGGTGAAACTCAATCAATCGAACAACGGTAACAAATGAACCACCCATTTCCTTTCTTGATTGCGATATTAGACTTATCTTTCAGTGAATACGGAAAACTGGAAAAGGAATTAAAATCTTCGATTGCCTAATACAGTGTTGTAGCTCAGTAGATTTTGGCATTGATCTATCAAAAAGAGGATCAAGACTAGGAATTCTACCTCACCAAATGAGATTTACTGAAATAAGTACCACAACCGAGCCTCATCAAAAAAGTGTGGCTCACTGTCAAACGAGTGTTAATCAGTTAGTTAATATTCAAGTATTGGTTTTGTAGGGATTTTGTTTGATTGCATGGAGGATTTAATCATGAGCTGACATCAGTTAGAGAACCACTGGAAAACCGGGAGTACTGGACAATGTTCCAGTTTTCAGACTCCATGTACCAGGTTATAAATCACATGTTTAGTGTGAAAAGATTTATGGCACTAATGAAGTAGGTGTAGTGAGACTTGAATCCGAGCCTAAATGACTGCAAAATAAACCACTTAATCATGTACATGGCTAACAAACGGCGCCATCGTCATAATTAATTGCTACTAACTCTAATACTAAATGTTCTTAAAGGATGTGTAGAAGACTAGTAGGAAATTTCAAAGATACATGGTGAAATAGCAATGCAGGAAGTTAAGATACAACCAATGCAATATCTAGGGTGACGTCGTTAATCACACCAACAGATTCCAATACATACTGTTTCTTTGTATCTACGTTTTTTGACATAGTATTATTTAGTTAATGATACCTAGCGATAGAATCAAGACACATGTTTCGTCCTTTTTTAAGATTCGTCAACTTTATGTGTCTGTCTTTATTCCCAGTGAGTAATGGTGTTCGCACTGAGCCTCGGACTCAGCACTCACCGTTTTAAACACCAAACTGTTATCCACTAGGTCATCATCGGGTTAAGACAACCATCTCTTATGTACCGCCGTATAATTGCCTAAAATCCGTGACGAATGATGAGACAAGGCTTAAGAGGTGCGCTGGTACTATGAAATGACTCAAGAATAGAATGTGTGTACTCATTTCAACTTCTTAAAAATATTTGAAATGTACAACAAATATCATACCACTGAAAGTTTAAAAATGCACAATATGCCTGAAAATCTACGAGTAAATACGCAAAAAAGGTGTTCTTTTTGACCGTTTGGTCTATGCGTCGGTAGCATAGCGGTTAAGACGCTCGCCAACCATGCACATGGTCCGGGGTTCGATCCCCAGACAACGCACTCCTTTGCCTCGCTAAGCCAGAAATAAAAGCTGGCAAAGAGGAAAAGATTGGGTATGAGGCTAGCAACCCCATCCTGTAAAAATAAACACTGCTACAGAAACTTCAAGCCACTAACTTGAAGCCCTATGTTCCACTGGGAACGTGTAGGAATAAAAAAAGTGTAGTTAGGTCTGTACTAATGACGACCCGGAGATAGGCGAGATTTTAAACAGTTACTGATAAAAACTAAACAGAGATCCTATGCTAATTTCTATTCCTAATCTTTGGTACAAAGTCACTGATACCTTTCATACTAGTCATTTTCAGATTCCCTCATGCTCTTCCATTGAATCTGGTTCATTAAAGTTTACAGTTACCTATGCATATATCAAAAGCAGAATATACGCCATGGAAATTCAAATAATACATGTGCGCCTACTTTAAAAATGATGGGTAAACAGTGTGGACAAATTCGGAAATGAACAACCAACGATAGTTTCTACATTTTCAAGATTGATCAAACTGATTTCAGTTAAAAAGACATTGGAAACCACCAGGGAGGAGTGCTGGACAGCTGTTTCGTCCTTGATCGGGACTCTTCTGCAACCGACACTCATGATCCCACTACCGGAGATCAAACCCAGGACCCTCGAATTATAAGGTGAGCACGCTGACTACTTCTTCAAAGTGTAACTTGAGGGTCCCGAGTTCAATCCTTGACAGTGGGGTCATAGTTACCTATTGCGGAAGTGTCTTGAACGCAGACGGAGTAACTATTCAGTACTCTCTGATTTCCACTAGTTCCCCAGCTTATATCAGTTCGTGATCAGTCTTGAAATCGACCAAATCCCTGAAAACCAAGTCTTGAAAATCACACATTTTCCATAGAAGTGTAAGATTGACTATTTAGTGAGTTAACAACCAATTTATATTGCTGTTCATATCCTAAACACTGAGGGAAATCTTTAGAAGACAAATGTACGACTTATAATCCTACGTTTTCAGACCAATTAATAAGATGTATGTGGTTCCTTCACTTTAACAAAATAAAATAAGAACAGGCAACTTGCAAACATTAGAAACATTCAGAAATCAATATGAAAGTACTTACTATAATAAGGAGGATTTTTGATCCTTCTGAGATCAGCATGATTATGTGATGATAATAACTGGGAAGTATCAGATGAAGATGAGGAAGAGAATGATGATGAGACCGTGGATGCTGGGGAACTAGAATGTGAATCATCCACTGGATTATGTTCATCACGGGGTTGATCAAAATCTAGGCACCACGATTGTGGTCGTTGATGCGGTTGACAATGACTGAAAATTTGTTCTTCATACAATTTAAGACTATCCGTCATAGCAAATCCTTTAGGTCGAGATATTGCACGTGTACTAGGGATTTGTATTCGAAAATAATTTGGATTATTTCCAGAAACACTAGAACGAATATTTCTCAATTGATCTGATGTATTAGACGTTGTAATCTTATTTCCACCGGGTGTCATATTTTGACGCATAGATGAAACACTATTATTCCGTGGAGTTCGAGAATTTAATAACATTCGTAAATCATGATTTCCTTGTTCAGAGGTTTCGTTAATCATTGTGGGCGTTGATAATCGAGCCTGTGGTGAACAATTCAGTTTTATATCTTCAATTCCCATAGACTGAGCATTGGGCATGGCGTTAACGTAGTGATCAGAAGATGAATGAAAAAATCGTTGAGATGGATTAGAGGAGGATGTGTTAGTCAGTACACTGAAACACCGTAGTTTAGGACGCTGAAAACTTTGTTCCGTTAAACTACAACGTCGTACTGCACCGTTGCATAACAAGTTATCATAGGAACCAGATGGTCGTAATAATTCTGGACGATTCCGCACACTGGGGGAAAGTTTTGTTGGGGTAGTAGTAGTTGGACGTAAATTATGCAGTGCAGAAATACGCACTACACTATAACCACCTTTCTTGTTACAATTAGATTCAAAACGAGGCAGTGGGGGTCGACGACTATTTACATGGACATTTCCACTTGTTGGCGAGACTTGTTGCGTAATCTGTTCATTATTATTATTATTGTTATTAGATTTTTGGTACAACGAAATAGTACCACAATTATTTCCAGTTAAAAATAATGTGGCTGAACCACTACTACTAACTGAAATAGCAACTGGAGAAACAGGACAACGAACAATAGGCTGTATTATTGACGTTGCAGACAACCTTGGTAGGGCAGAGAAATTCAGTCCAGTAGATTGATTGTCAGTCTGACTAGGTGAGAGAGAGACTGAATTTCTATCGACCGATATGCCAAGGTCATATAAACTTGTTCTCCAATCCGGACTATTGGCGAGACTGGATTACTATTTGATAATGTTGATGATGAGTCACGATTTAACCATTTTTTATTATCATTATTGTCTGATACTATTCTATTGGAAGTTGTTGTTGAGTTAGATGCGCCAATCATGATTGCTATACTACCATTGGTATTTGGGGTGAGAGCTGTATGCTTCATTGATCTTTCGTATTGGTTATTTTTTAAACGTGCGTTAGTTATTCCACTTGTATGTATGTCCATTACGAGTCGTGTCGGTAAAGTGGGAAGAGGAGGAGGAGGAGGAGGAGGTGTATTTTGTTGACATTTAAAATTCATGTCGTATGAATGATTTGTTGTAGTAATAGGCGTTGTTCTTTGTATAACTAAACTATTCTGACGTCGAATACATCTAACTTTTGACGAAGTTGTACTGTTTCCATTGTAATTAGCATTTGTTATTCGAGGTGGTGATACTGATCCATGTCGAAAATAGGATAGTTTTATTCTTCCTCCTTGTGGTGACGCCGATCTCCTGAGGATATTAATCTGTGGACCACTGCGTACAGTGACTCGAATATTTCTACCTTCCAAACTTTTGTTCATTATCGTTGTTCGTCAGCTGGTGAATATATCCAAGGAAAGGCTGTTTTGCTCATTCTCATAAGAATAAGCACCTACTTTAAAGATGCATCATGGTACTATGTACTGAATTCACTCCTGAAACTAATAGATATATACTGTAGGACGAATAACAAAACATATGCGTGTATGTATGTGTGTGTGTATATGTATGATACACAATGCCACCACCTACGTACTAATTCTAGCCCATATACATACATGGTTCTTTCAAGGTTGTGTGGGTTTTCCACCCACTGCAGGTGATTGCATGGATGTATCTGGTTCGATATTTCGCCAATCCAGAAACCGATTAGATTAAAAATTCTATCACATTGCTACTACAATATGACACTATAGACATTAAAGGTGTATATGTCACTATTGGGAGTAGGGGAACAGTAATGAAATGAGAGGAAAATCAAATATTTGGGCTATTATTATGATTATTATTATTACTTCATTAGAATGGTATAGTGCATGTGCGTAATTAATTCTTTCCTATTTTTTCTTTGTCCTTTTCAATCCCTAACCTATTATTGCATAGCACTGTAAGTATCATAGTTATTGGATTATTCAACTAATAAAGTGATCACGGGATAAGTGTTTTGTTTTTTGGTCAAGCAGCAAAATTTGTGATCTTTCCCATTTCGGATTGAAGGGTTAAATTAAGAAATTCTGAATAGATAATTCCTTGTTTTAGACAAAGATACTGGTTCCACTGGGATCCAAGTGGAACATAGGACTTCAACAGAAGCACACCTCCATTTTGTCCTCTTTAGCTGGCTGACTCCACGATTGCCTATAAGCTCTTATCACCTCTTCACACGATCTATTCCATACTACCACCTTCAAAGAGATGCTCAACTTGTCGTTTCCTGTTTGAGTTTCACTCAAGGTCCTACACACACACAGGCGCGATGTCACCCAACAGTCTTTTTCTCCTTGTGTCCAAATCATCTTCATTTTCTTGGGGCATATTTGCTGAGCAATAGGTTCTTGGTCGGGTTTCTTGTTGCTATTTCTTCCTAGCCAGCCGTTATCACATCTTAAGTGTGGAGGTAGAGAAGGCGGCTGTTGATGAAAGTCCTCAACAATCTGTTGGAAATGTCTTTCGTGGCTCGCGCACCAAATCGCTGACACATATAGAAGCATCGATGTTGAAAATTCAAATTTCGTCCTTTGTTCTAAGTGATTCCAGAGTGATAAATGCCTGTCTAGGCTTTTCACTTCTGGCTGGTTTTGACATCCTCGTCCATGCTGATATTGGTATGCAGGGTCTACGATACCTCAGAGAGACAAGCGACTCTGCTTTCAATGATGAATTGGCATTTTAGGTTTGAAAGTCAATACTGATTACAGATTCACACCCGTTTGAGACACAATGAAATTTGTGTTTTTTTAATGATGATTGTTCGTCATTTTCGTTTGTTTGGTTGGAGGATGTCATCATGAGCTGACATAAGTTAGAGAACCATTTCGAAATCAAGGAGTCCCGGACAGCTGTTTAGCCCTAGTTTAGGACTCTTCAGAAGGACGTACCCATCAGGATTTGAACCCAGGCCTTTTCAGTTACTAAGTGGACTCATAGACCATTCAACTACTGTGACCCAATAGGGTGTCCCATGGATTCTAACAATCCGTGACATGTAGTTCAACCGCCATTCAATATCCTCTACGAGTAACTGTCCTCTTACCTGACCTGGTGGCCATTGGGTCAGGTCCCAGTGGCTGAGTGGTCTACGAGGTCACTTTGTAATCGCAAGTCCTTAGTTTTGAACCCTGGCGATGGGTGCGTACTGATGAAGAGTCCCTAGCTAGGACGAAATAGCTTTCCAATGTTCCCAGGTTTTCCAGCTGATGTCGGCTTGCGATCAATCCTGTAACCAAATTTAAGTCAATATCAGTATTTCACTACTGTTTTCTTTTGAAATTTTCATTTTTCCTTTCGCTCGGTTTCATTTTCTAAAAAATAAATCAATGTTGATACTGTCACCAAGCCTGATAATGAAATGTCTACGATTAAGTGTTAAAATTCACCGAACACTGAGAAGACAACTCTCTCTTCCCACTAACCCATAAGTTTTTGTCGCTATCTGTCTGATTTTCATTTATTCTGTCGTTAAATTGTATAGTGTAAACACAATCTTTTTTTGCCGTCTGCCACGAGATAGTAATATGTTTTCGGCTACTTGAGACAACTTTGTCTCTCTCTCTTTTCATCCTCTAACTACCTTAACATTTTTTCGCATGGTGGTGGGGGGGGTCGAAGGGTAAAATATTGAATTTTAGGATGGATAAGTCTATCACACAATGCCTGTGATATATGTGTTCATACTATCGACAATTTTTAAACTCTACTATTCAATGATTTCCCACAGACTGGGAGATATGCAAGTGAAAAGCAACAAGTTGGCGATAGAAGAAGCATCAAAGATAGGACCTCTTTCAGGTGAACATAGATGAAACAAGGTGATGAAGATTCCTGGCCAGCATCAACAGCAACAGACAACAATCAACCAGTATAAATGGGAGGAACCTGAAAGAAACAACCTCCTTCACCGTCCGACCTGGGAAGCCTCGTTTCAACTACAGGCAGACGGAACTGACGAGGATATCAAAGCCAGAATCGGAAAGGCAAGACAAGCTTTCATTACTCTCAAGTCTGTGTGGAGGTCAACAGAACTCAGCATCAAAACGAGTATAAGATCCGGATTTTCAACTCCAATGTGAAGTCAGTGCTACTTACTATACGGATCAGAGACTTGGCCAGCGCGTCATAAAGAGCATCTCAAACAAACTTCAGACCTTCATTAACAGTTGTCTTCGCTCAGTACTACTCAAGATCAGATGGCTGGCCAGAAAAGATCAGCAACAGGGATCTCTGGTAATGAGCGAACCAACCCAGCAGGAACCGATTGTGAAACAAATATGCAGGAAGAAATGGAGATGGATTGTCGATACTCTGAGGAAACACATCACTAGACAAGCCCTCGAGTAAACCCGACAGAGTGGGAAGCGGCGAGTTGGTCGTCAGTGCGAGGGTGGAGTAACTTGGAGGAAGTGATGTGAAGAGGAGATGAAAGCATGTGGGCAGACTTAAAGCGGGTGAAAAAGTTGGCAGAAAACCGAACGCAATGGAGACGTTTTGGCTGAAGCCCTATGTTCCTCTAGGAATTAAAGGATATAATAGTAATAATTCAGTTGGTTGCAGGATTTCATATCATGAGCTGACATCAGTTAGAGAACCATTGGAATATCAATACTGGAGTACTGGACAGCTGTTTCGTCCTAGTTTGGGATTCTTTATTAGTACACACCTACCGGGGCTCAAAACCAGGATCTTCTGGTTACAGGACGAGATCGTTCGTAGACCTTAGGGCCACTGAGACTCGACCCAAAGGTCAATGAATTCCAACTTCTACCTATTTGTGATTTTAAGGAGACAACCAGCCCAAGTCATCAGCGAGTAGTTTTCATCACTTCCGACTACATGTGAACACCACTACTGGTAACTTCTCATTAGAAGTGTAGGCAACTTCAAACTCTGTTGGACACGTGCTGATGAACAGTCCCAAACAAGGAAAAAAACAGCTGTCCAGTACTCACCGGTTTTCAGTACTTCTCTAACTGATATCAATCTGTGGTCAAACTTGAAACAAGTACAATTAATAATTTACCATTTTCGAATAAGTTTTTTCCGTTTTTGTTTTCCATTTTAACGAATTCTCGTAAAAACTTTCATTTGATTATTACTATTATTGTGCGTCGGTGGCATAGCGGTTAGGACGCTCACCGACCATGCACATGGACCAGGATTCGATCCCCGGCCGGCGCACTCCTTTATCTCACTAAGCCAGAAATAATGCTGGTAAAGAGGAAAGGTTGGGCATGAGGCTTCTACTGGGGAACGTGAAGGGAAAAAAATACTATTATTAATACTGGAAAATGCTAATGTTGGGGCTTAATATATTGTAACGGCAGAAGACAAGATACTTGGTAGCGGAACGTTTATTAGGAATTCGATATATACACAGGAAAATTATGTACACCTTACCTGAAAATCGTCATTTGCATAGAGCTTCCATGATGTGTTACTTCTGTCCTTCACATTTTGTTTCTTTGTCTTCTTTCCGTGTCTCCTATGTTCGCCTCAATACTGGTCCATTTCCTGTCTTTGAAATCAAATCTATCTCCCTGTTATTTGATATTTTTGCTCCGATGAACATCTCCATACAAACTACTGATAAATCTTGTTAGTAGCACATGCTACAATATCCATTCAAACGAAATGGTGTATAATACAGTCAATCTGCATATCGCAGTTTTACTTATACCAATGTCATTAATGTATAAGAAGTTCAACATGATTATGACAACCAAAAACGCCACGTTGTAGTCTGAACACAGGAAACTGACCTCTGTGCCCTGCTCTTAACCTTACCATTATCAACCATGATGACCACACTGAACAAGAAACTGAACTCATACAGCCTTACTCGTTTCTTCCACCCTTAATGACTGTTTCGCACAGCTGTAAAGAAGAATGACACGAACTACTGTACAAGACACATGCCTTTTGATGGACAGGTGGATATCTCACCTATTCCAAGATTAATGCAAATTAGCAAATTTCGTATCTGTGATGAGATTTCGTCAGTAGGTGATTTCAATGCTCAAGTAGGGAAGTTAAACCAATTTGTAAAGTATGCTGGAGATATCTATGGTGTCTATTCCAGACGGAAAGAAAACACTGACTATTTTTTCAAAATTCGGTTCATATGACAGCTTATTTCTGTCCAGAGCCAAATTCAAGCACAAGAAGAGGTACTACCTCACCGGGGAACTGCGAACGTCAACTTAACGACTTGACTAACAGTTTATAGTGTTGGTTCTTTGATTCGATTGGACAGTTGAATATTATTAAGGTAGAAATCTCTTAAAATGAATCTAGTTGTGTGACATGTCAATGAATAAACAAAACAAGTCCAACAGAGTGTAACGTTTAATTTGTCTACATACTTCTTATTCCTTCTGAAGGTAGATGATATTTATTATTGTTATTATTATTTCTTTAAGTTCTGAGTGGACCATATGGCTTCAACAGCACATCTTACTTTCTTCCTGTTCTCTGCTGTCCTTTTGATCTGGC